TTTTTTAATACAATTGACCCCTGTGACCTTGAATATAATTGAAGGTCATTCATTTGAACAAACTTGGTAGCCCTTCACCCAAGCATGCTACTGGCCAAATATCAACTCCCTGGGCATTTTGGTTATTGAGAAGAAGATGTTTAAAGTTTTAAACATATTTGACCCCTGTGACCCTGAATATAGGTGAAGGTCATTCATTTGAACAAACTTTGTAGCCCTTCATCCCAGCATGCTACTGGCCAAATATCATCACCCTGTGCATTTTGGTTATTGAGAAGAAGTTGTTTAAAGTTTTTAACATATTTGACCCCTGTGACCTTGAATATGGGTGAAGGTCATTCATTTGAACAAACTTTGTAGCACTTCATCTCAGCATGTTACTGGCCAAATATCATCACCCTGAGCATTTTGGTTATTCAGAAGAAGTTGTTTAAAGGTTTTTTAATACAATTGACCCCTGTGACCTTGAATATGGGTAAAGGTCATTCATTTGAACAAACTTGGTAGCCCTTCACCCAAGCATGCTACTGGCCAAATATCAACTCCCTGGGCATTTTGGTTATTGAGAAGAAGATGTTTAAAGTTTTTGACATATTTAACCCCTGTGACCTTGAAAATAGGTGAAGGTCATTAATTTTAACAAACTTTGTAGCCCTTTATCCAAGTTTGCTGCCGGCCAAATATCGACACCCTAGGCCTTTCGGTTATTAAGAAGAAGTCGTTTAAAGTAAAATATTGACGCCGGACGCCGGACGGACGGACGGACGGACGACGGACGGACGGACGAGGTGAAGGTCATTCATTTGAACAAACTTTGTAGCACTTCATCTCAGCATGCTACTGGCCAAATATCATCACCCTTCACTTCGTGCCAGGTGAGCTAAAAACCAACAATACATGTAGCAGGAAATATGTGTCTTTGGTTCACAAAATCTGGTTGTACATGTATAATTTGATAATTGATTTATTGGCAATCAATCATAACATTTGGCAGTTTTTTAGTGGCCAAGTTACATAATTATTCTCATGCATCTACCGTTGTTAATATCTACAGTAAAGTCACTTTTATCTCCACAAGCAGTGATCATGAAGCTCCCAAAAAATTCCACAAATAAGTATTCTGAGAAGCCTAAATGTGTAATTACAGAAAAATAAATTAACTTCCTTTTTTTAATCTTGCTTTACATGTACACTATGGATGTTTATTTCCCAGGTGTTGAACTTGAGCAATTTAAACTTTGGCAAGCTCATTGTGGTCACCAATGCAAATCATCAAAATCAATTCCTGCTAAATATCACTAACTATACCATATAGCTATAACCATTAGTTACTTAATATACTCGGTAAATACATGTAACTACTCATCACAGACACAAGTGTTCTAAGCACCACTATAGCTACAGCAACTAGGGAAAAAATCACCAGTTACAGAAATATATATCATTGATAAACAAGTTACAGAAACAGAAACTAGGCATAAAATCATCAGTTATAGAAATAATATATGTAGCTTCGAGTTACAGCAACCAGATGAAAACAAAACAATAACAGCAACAAGATATAACCAAGTGTAACAGTAATATCATATGTAATTTCTAGTTACAGCAACTAGAGAAGTTACAGAAATATTATGTAACTAGTTACAGCAACTAGAGATGTTTCAGAAATATTATGTAACTACATGTACTAGTTACAGCAACTAGAGAAGTTACTGAAATAGTATGTAACTACTAGTTACAGCAACTATAGATAAAACCATTACAGCAACTAGAGAAGTTACAGAAATCAAATGTTACTTTTAGTTACAGTAACTAGAGAAGTTACAGAAATAGTATGTAACTACTAGTTACAGCAACTAGAGACGTTACAGAAATAGTATGTAACTACTAGTTACAGCAACTACAGATAAAACCATTACAGCAACTAGAGAAGTTATAGAAATCAAATGTTACTTTTAGTTACAGTAACTAGAGAAGTTGCAGAACAAATATGTAACTACTTAGCAAAAATTCATAATACATTTCTCAGTATCATCATTAGTTTTCACTCACACCAACATTTGTTTTTCTTCAAAATTAAAACATAAATGAAAGGATATATATTACATTGGTGATTAGCATTGTGTTAAATGTCTGATGAAGGGAACCGAGCCTTAATATTACTTTTACATGAACTGAAATGCAACATTTTTTTAAATGCTCTTTTCCCTTCAAGCCCCATGCAAATAACAAAATACACACTCAATCATTAAGTACTTAGTATTTATAGTAAAAAATATTTCTCTTTGTAATATTAAATGAAAACTTTAAAATACAAACAATTAAATTTGAGCAATGAAAAACGGGGAAATAATATGTACTTTGTACATATGATAATATCTAATACTATTCAAATATTGTAAACATTATTTTTGTGACTCCCATTCTACCATGAAAAATATGGTAAAAAAGATCATTGAAAAATCATGTAGGGAATGTTGCATGAAAAGTCCTTAAAATCAACAAAACAAAATTGAACCCTCAATTTAAAAAGTCTCACAGTACACTGATGATGATGCTATGAATTAATGTGTTATATAGTCTTTGCTAATAATCCTACTAAAATTTCTACAATACAAATTTACCCTATTTGCAGGAATACTTTTTATCTATATTTAAGGCTGACTATAGAGGTGATTTTTTTCATATTTCTCTCAACCAATGAGAGTACAACAAAATGGCAAGACAGAAAAAAAAGAAAGAAAAAAGAGTGTGCAGTTTCCGGTGAGCAAAAACTGGAATGGCACAACTCTAAAGGAATGCTTACAGAAAAATAAATGTATTTGTCAATAATGTCAGACAATTTAGCACACCTATATATCACAGACTTCAACTTTCTTCCCCATCGTAACTGAGATGGGCTAGCACCTTCTATTTATACAGCTGGGTGGATTTGACCTGCCAATATGCCAGCATGATGACAATCACCCTAAGCTATACTGACCTATACTTCTCACTTCTACCTTTAATTTCCAATGACAAATGGTGATCATCGCATGAATACATAATTTTCAACATTTCTGATTCAACATTTAGTCATGTAAAGGAATAACAAAAACAGTTATGTCGTCGAACGATGCATGATCATCTGTATTTTTCTTCCTCCAGCCTTGTCCCACATGGAATCCCCGAGCCTGTGTGACGAGCTCTCGTGCAGCAGCAGTATACCTGAGGATATAGATGAGGCTCGTGCTTGTAATAATAGTCAATATGAGTTAGATATTTTCTGAGGGTCAGCTTTTATCACAATAATGATTGAAATTGGGGTTAACACCCTTAAAGGGCAAAAGATACAGCGTCAAGACATATTTGTGTAGTGTATAAGTTAAGGATAAACAAGGGGCCCAAAAGCTAAAACTGTGAAAAGGTATGGGGTCACCTGTCTGACCATGTGGTACTCTGGTTTCCTCCCACGCACTAACATCCAGGCCAACAACAGACTGATTGATATACTAAAGTTGAAATTACTTGTTGCATAATTTTTGTAATGTAAACAATAATAACAATAATAAATGTATAGCCCTTCTGGCGGGCAGCAGTGACTCCAAAAAGCTGAAGACTAAATATTTGTTCTATATAATTAAGTATTCAAGATTCTTAAGAAAAGTCTGGTAATCGAAAATGTGAATCAATGTACATTGTAATTAATCTAGACTAAATTGATGGCCCTTATACAGCAAACTAAATTCCAAATACATTTATTATTTCTCTAGGCCTCATGTTTCCTTAGAAGAGATTGTTTGAATTTTTTTACCAAAATATCACCAAATGCCCATATCTAAATAAACGAGCCATTCACCTAGCAGACTTAACTTACAAATAATGTGACCCCAGGCCCTGTTTTATGTCTTAAAATAGTTATAACAAACTGATAATCATTATACACACATGTCAACATGGCATTGAATATCAGTAAGAGAATGCCAACCTCCATAATTAGTTTTGCTGTTCAAAGCCCTGCTCCTTTTGTTTACCTTTTGTAGTCGTTGGTGTTATAGGTGGCGAGAGTCTGTCTAACAATGGCTGCAGCCTCTGAGTTAGATATTACGTCCCATAGTCCGTCTGACGCCATAATCAGCACACAGTTCTCTCCTAACTCCCCTGCTTTAGTATCATAAATTTCAACCTGGAAGAAATACAAAAATACTGTGACATGAGTACACAACCATACCTTGCAAACTTATATTGAAACAAGATCTGTATTAGATAAATAGTAAATACCTCAAAGACACAAGTCTTCAGAACTAGTATATATGTGCTTTTAATTCAGTTTCAAAGTTCATTATTTCAATAAAAAATATGTTTTTGTTATGATCATTTTGGGGTGTTTTTTAAACAGGAAGAAACGTAAATTTAAAGAACCAAGATATGTTCAGCTTACCTCTGGGATGGAAGACAGAAAAGGTTTGACATATATTTCTGAATCAAACACTCTCAAGTCGTGATCACCAAAACCTCTGGCCACTCCTATTGTTTCCATGAGACGGGACTGTAAACATACACAATATCATATAACTTTAGAGCATCATGTGATTTTATTTCTTTTCTTTCTTTTTATTTAATAGACAAAAGGCCAAAGAGGCCTGTTTCACTCTCTATATAGTTCAAAAATAATATAATGGTGTTTGCAAAATATATCTGATAGTGCTGAAATTAATTTGGACAATCCTGATAACTATTGTAATGATCAGCAACTATATAGAAATACAATTAATTACAACGCATGTAGTCACACAAGACCAGGTATCACACAACTTCTTAATTTGATCAACATTAATTTTTCATTTTTCATGTTTATCAGGTATTTTTTCCACATTTTATGCAATGTTTAAGTTCACAAGATATTTTTTTTTAACACAATATATCAAAGGAAATATTTCCTTTAACTCCTATATAAACATTGGATATGTTCATAAAGTTCACAATGTTCTTGTTATTCCAGCCTGTTAAAGTTGAACTATGTACATTGTACTATGTACTGAAGATTGATACCAATGCCTGGTTGTGAAGTTGTCAGTGAATTATGTGCTGAAGGTTACTATCATTTTTTGAATTTTTGTACCTTTTTCCCATTTCTGGTCACAAGTGGAAATTTTAACGCATCGTAATCTGCCACTTTATATCCCCTGCAACAATGAGTGTCGAATATTATTATTAAACAGTGTTAGGAAAAGTTCTTGATGACAATTTCAAAAACAAAGAAGCTATCAAAAACAAACAAAACCATGAAGCACGATATCAGTATAAAAGTGACATACATTTGTATGATGACTCACCATACTGTCATATACATGTATGACTTTATCCCAGATATGTCATGTGACTTTTCAAAAAACTGTCATGTGACTATGTACCATACAGTTATATGACTTTGTGACACATATCATACTGTCATGGGACTACGTAATTTCACACGGCATTTGACTATTTACATTAATTTTATATAACTACACACCATACTGTCACATGACTACAGAAAACATTGTCATGTGACTATACACAATATTGTCATATGACTATGCACAACACTGTTACGCAATTACTCACCACCCTGACATGTGAGGAGACCTGTAGAGGACCCTCCTGCCCACGTCCTCTCGGAATATCCTCCGTGTGTATTCTGTACATGTGAATTCTCCATGTAGAAGCTCTGGCTTGGCATCACCCTACATTTAAATAGGTCATAAAGTGTCAGTAGCCAAGTGATCATGGTACCCACAGTTACGTGTCAGTAGCCAAGTGATCATTGTACCCACAGTTATATTTGGTGTGCAGCTGAATACCAGTACTTGGATTATCAGCGAGTCAAACATAATAACATTTTGCATTGTTTTACAACCACAGGCATTAAAATCACTGTTTACTTACCTTATAATCAAGAAAAAAACACACAATGACAGATAATCACAACATCATGAAACACTAATATTTTTATCCATATACATGTATAACCTAGTCCCTGCTCCATATACCGAGATATCTTGATCTCAGTCAGATTTAACATATTCTTCTTACAAGGTGAGTAAGCCGTTCTCTTTCTGCATATGGTGTGTGGTCCCGAGACAGAGGAATTGTCTTCTCCCCATTACACAGCACCGCTCTGTAAACCAAGGCAGTGACGTTTAGTTGTTCTGGTTATACCTTCAGTACAAGACAGACACTTAAAAACTTATTCTCCAATATATATCGATGACGGATAGTGAGTAAAGATTAGTAACGTCTTTTGATTACTGACAGGTAACCTCTAACGATAGGTTATCTCTAAATGATATGGAACCATCATTGACAGGTGACCTCTACTGACAGTCGATCTCTATACTGACAGGTAAACGTCAATGACAAATGACAATTGTTGATAGATGATCTCTAATTCGTGGTTATTTCTGACAAGTGACCTCTATTGACAGGTGATTTTTATTGATAGCTGACCCTTAAATGGCAGGTAAACACTATTGAAAAGGTGAACTCTTGTAACTGGAAACCTCTTAAGATAGTTAGGGTCCTATGACAGGTTACCTCTTATGATAGGTGACCTCTATTCATAGCTGACCTCTATTTACGGGTAACCTCTACTGAAAGGCAACCTCCAATGATAGGTGACCTCCATTAACAGGTGACCTCCATTAACAGTTGACCTCTATTAACAGTTGACCTCTATTAACAGTTGAGCAGTAATGACAGGTGACCACTATTAATGGTTGACCTCTATTGATAGTTGAGCAGTAATGACAGGTGACCACTATTAATAGTTGACCTCTATTGACAGTTGACCTCTATTAACAGTTGACCTCTATTAACAGTTGACCTCTATTAAAAGTTGACCTCTATTGAAAGTTGACCACTATTAACAGTTGACCTCAAATGACAGTTGACCTGTAATGACAGGTGACCTCTATTAAAAGTTGACCTCTATTGACAGTTGACCTCTTTTAACAGTTGACCTCAAATGACAGGTGACCTCTATTAAAAGTTGACCTCTATTGACAGTTGACCTCTATTAACAGTTGACCTCAAATGACAGATGACCTGTAATGATAGATACTCTCTAAAAACAGGTTAATTCAAATGATAGATGACAGTATACCTCTCATGCCAGGTGACATATACAGACAGGTGACATATACATACAGACAGGTGACATATACTGACAGGCGACATATACAGACATGTGACATATACATACAGACAGGTGACATATACAGACAGGTGACATATACAGACAGGTGACATATACATACAGACAGGTGACATATACATACAGACAGGTGACATATACTGACAGGTGACATATACAGACAGGTGACATATACATACAGACAGGTGACATATACAGACAGGTGATACAGAATTACAGGCATGCTATGACATGACAGGTGTAATATACAATATCTGACGACATATAATGAGAACCAGTTAGCTATGACGTAGACATACCTACAATCTCCAGCATTGGCCACATATACTTTCCCAAACATGAACATTGCTATGATAGCTGCACAACCCCCTCGTATTGTGTAGGTTAGGCGCTCCCGCATGATCTGATCATCCTGGAACAAAATAGGGCATTCCACTGAACATCACCTTACCATTAGATCTGATGTACACTTAAGTAATAAAAAAAATATCTTTCTACAACACAGTGTCACAATTTATTATCAAAATATTTAAATTCAGATCATAGGTGTCTGTGAGTGTGGGTTTTTACATTAAGAAACAATGTTCTTTCAATCAACATTGAGAAACAATGTTCCTGTGGTCAACATTAGGGAACAGTGTTCTTTCAACCAACATTAGGGAACAGTGTTCTTTCAACCAACATTAGGGAACAGTGTTCTTTCAACCAACATTAGGGAACAGTGTTCTTTCAACCAACATTAGGGAACAGTGTTCTTTCAACCAACATTAGGGAACAGTGTTCTTTCAACCAACATTAGGGAACAGTGTTCTTTCAACCAACATTAGGGAACAGTGTTCTTTCAACCAACATTAGGGAACAGTGTTCTTTCAACCAACATTAGGGAACAGTGTTCTTTCAACCAACATTAGGGAACAGTGTTCTTTCAACCAACATTAGGGAACAGTGTTCTTTCAACCAACATTAGGGAACAGTGTTCTTTCAACCAACATTAGGGAACAGTGTTCTTTCAACCAACATTAGGGAACAGTGTTCTTTCAACCAACATTAGGGAACAGTGTTCTTTCAACCAACATTAGGGAACAGTGTTCTTTCAACCAACATTAGGGAACAGTGTTCTTTCAACCAACATTAGGGAACAGTGTTCTTTCAACCAACATTAGGGAACAGTGTTCTTTCAACCAACATTAGGGAACAGTGTTCTTTCAACCAACATTAGGGAACAGTGTTCTTTCAACCAACATTAGGGAACAGTGTTCTTTCAACCAACATTAGGGAACAGTGTTCTTTCAACCAATATTAGGGAACAGTGTTCTTTCAGTCAATATTTGGAAACATTTTCTAACAGTCAATATTAGGGAATAGTTTTCTAACAGTCAATATTAGGGAACAATGTTCCTACAACAATGTTTATTAGGGAACAATGTTCCAACAATTAACAGAAGGGAACAATGTTTCTGAAGTCAACATTAGGAAATTATGCTCCGACATTCAACATTAGGACACAACAATGTTCCAGGGGGACACAGCATAGCTTTTGATATTCTTTGTTTTCAGGTAGTTTTGGTTCATAAGTACTAAATGTCCTTTAAAAAATTGTGTGTCCTCTTTCCATAAGCAACTAGTGATTATTTCATAATTGAGTTCTATATTTCAGTGATGGGAAACTCCATTTATTCATGAAACCTTTGACTAAACAATCTACAGGAAATCACAAGTCTGTAAGTTCAAAAAGTTAGTTATGCATGGAGTTTGTGAAATGTAGGCTCATTGAACTCAGGGCTCATTTGTAGAATCAAAATGTGATAGATGAATGGATGATAGAATGAGTCGTGCCTTCCTTTAAGGCTCTATACTACCTTAAATACTGTGACATGTACCTCCATTAAAAAGAGTTCCATAGTGATCAAGAACCTTTTAATGTCTTTAGGTATAGTTACTTGAACTTGCTTAATCTATTTAGGACAAACACTCAAGGAAATCCAATGAAAATGTTTAAAGGGAGATAACTCTAACAAAAAACTTTGGTATTACATGTAAGGTAGCATATAAACATTTTACATCACAAAATCATTACCAGGTCTACGAATGCCTCCTCCAGAATACCAGTAATGAGGTCATCTACAGAGATGTTGCTAATATTTCCCAGGGAAAGGCGCTCTGCATCCTGCTTGGAGGGGGCCAGTTTCTGATTAATCACCTCCCATGCACAATTCAGCTTGTCCTGGGAATCATGTACGAAACAGTTAAACTTTCCTCAAATCTCATATCTGGTGCAAGACAATTATATTTAGTACAACGTAGTTCATATCTAGTGCATGTCAGTTCATATCTGGTGCAAGACATTCATATCTAGTACAAGGCAGTTCATATCTAGTACAAGGCAGTTCGTAATTCATATCTAGTGCATGTCAGTTCATATCTAGTACAAGTAAGGCAGTTCATATCTAGTGCATGTCAGGGTTCATGTGTTGGCAACATCATTAAGTTAATCATAGTCTCTGAACATATATGACTTAACTAATGATGAACATATGCAGTAAGTATAAATTACACAACACTGCAATATTTCGCATTTTAAATCACACAGAGTTGAGATTAAGAATTCAGCAAGATTATTTTCTAATACACCATTCAAGACTCAAAAACTGTCTGCTATTGCTCCCATTACAAAGCCAAATCATTAATATATACTATTTTTCCTGAAGCACACATTAAGGAAACATACTATACAAGAGTATTTCTTTTGTGACAAAAACTTGTATAAGACATAATAATGTACAGCAACTTTACCTCAATGTGTTTGTGCAGGATTTTGGATGCAAATATAGCAGCATCAGCACCAGCATGGCCATCAAATATCCCAAAGTAGGTCACAGGTACTACATCCTATAATACAACATCTTAAATAGGTCACTGGTACCACATCATTTAATTATTACATCTTATATAGGTCACTGGTACCACATCATGTAAACATTACCACATCATGTAAATATTACATCTTAAAGTAGGTCACTGGTACTACATCACGTAAATATTACATCTTAAAGTAGGTCACTGGTACCACATCATGTAAATATTACCACATCATGTAAATATTACATCTTAAAGTCACTGGTACCACATCATGTAAATAATACCACATCAGGTAAATATTACACCTTAAAGTAGGTCACTGGTACCACATCATGTAAATATTACATCTTAAAGTAGGTCACTGGTACTACATCACGTAAATATTACATCTTAAAGTAGGTCACTGGTACCACATCATGTAACTATTACATCTTCAAGTAGGTCATTCGTACCACATCATGTAAATATTACCACATCATGTAAATATTACATCTTAAAGTAGGTCACTGGAACCACATCATGTACATATTACCACATCATGTAAATATTACATCTTAAAGAAACCTCGGGGAAGCCCCGCGTAAATTTAGCGCAGATCTATTTATATATGTCACGTGGTTGTTTCGAAAGTGAGGCAGTGATGATAACAACAATAGCACGCTGTCATATGCCATGTCGGACTCAACTAACAGACCAGACAGCAATACTATAGGTAAATAATTGTTTTCAAAGGTCATGAATAATGCAAGTGTAGTATTCCTACCTATATGTTGTTGTTACATGTATATACTGTACATATAACGGATTTGATACCTCGTCCCTGTCATGACTTTTGTATGCATCTTTTTCTTTCGCCGCGATGTTTACATTTGGCCTTGTTGATGACGCGTGTGCGGTAAAACTACATCACTGATCTGGGTCAATCGAGAGTTTTAGACTGTCAGGTGACGATTTAGGATTTCTTTATATAATTATGATTTTTACTCTCAGGGGGCGAATTTCAGCAAAATTTGAATCAGTATATTTCATAAGATGGTATTTTAAACACATGTATGCCATTTTAGCAAATATGACATTTTTTCCCTGACCAGACCCTTTAATGAGCTATAAGGATGATATCACTACCATCTGGTTTGAAGTAAATGTCGTTTTGAGCAAATCTGCCAATTTGACCTCTTTTAACCGGCCCTCAGCTCCCAGAAGGGTCAGCCACTTTATTTGTATAATTGTGTATCCCTATAGTCTAAATGTGCTACACCACAATTCGATTGAAATTTACTCAGTATGTAAGAAAACATCACTTAATGCAAATAAGCAAGTTTTAAACCCCTTTGCCCCCAGAAGGGTCAACCCCTTTATTGTTATTCCTATATATATAAGCAAGTTATCATTACAATTTGCATGCAATCTACCCAGAATTTGGAATGAGAAAACATTAAAAGCAAATAAGGGTAGCCACCGTGACCCCTTTTACCCGGCCCCTTTGCCCTCAGAAGGGTTGAAATCTGTCTAGTATTTGTGAAGACCCTTTAGACCCTGTCCATCAGGCCTCAGGAGGGGCAGTTCCTTTATTCCTTTATTTATATAATAATAAACTAGTGTACCAGCCAAGGAATATGAAGGAAAAAACAGCCTTTCTGGCAAGCTAGCTTTTCTGGCGACGTGGTATGACACTTGGGCATGGTCACTAGTTAAGTAACATCGAGCATTATGTCAGTGGCTGGATGGGTGCCCACCTGTCAGTGGCTGGATGGGTGCCACACCTGTCAGTGGCTGGATGGGTGCCCCACCTGTCAGTGGCTGGATGGGTGCCAACCCACCTGCCAGTGGCTGGATGAGTGGCCACCTGTCAGTGGCTGGATGGGTGCACACCTGTCAGTGGCTGGATGGGTGCCACACCTGTCAGTGGCTGGATGGGTGCCCCACCTGTCAGTGGCTGGATGGGTGCACACCTGTCAGTGGCTGGATGGGTGCCACACCTGTCAGTGGCTGGATGGGTGCCCCACCTGTCAGTGGCTGGATGGGTGCACACCTGTCAGTGGCTGGATGGGTGCCACACCTGTCAGTGGCTGGATGGGTGCCCCACCTGTCAGTGGCTGGATGGGTGCACACCTGTCAGTGGCTGGATGGGTGCCACACCTGTCAGTGGCTGGATGGGTGCCCCACCTGTCAGTGGCTGGATGGGTGCACACCTGTCNCGACTGTCACACCTGTCAGTGGCTGGATGGGTGCCCACTTGTCAGTGGCTGGATGGGGGCCCCACCTGTCAGTGGCTGGATGGGGGCCCACCTGTCAAGTGGCTGGATGGGTGCCCCACCTGTCAGTGGATGGATGGGTGCCGGACTGTCAGTGGCTGGATAGGGTGCCTACCTGTCAGTGGCTGGATGGGTGCCCACCTGTCAGTGGCTGGATGGGTGCCCA